AGTAGCTGTCAGTGCTCTTCATCTCCTCCTCCTCCTCAGCCTGAGACATGCACAGAGGTGGATTCATGTGTTACAGATATGACAGGAAGGCCTTAAACCTGAGTATTTATGATCATCCTTCCCTTTTTCCTCCTTTACAGCACCGAGTGAAACCTGTTGGCTTTCTGTGGACGTGGTGTTTTCATTTTCCATAACACAGGGATATACCAGTAATTACATTATAGTTACAATTATGTTGTGACTCGTGTTACAAAGGTCTCTCAGTTACCTGCACGCCGGGCTGAGGGCGACGCCCGTCAGTATATTAGTGTGAAAATAATCAGTAACTTCCATTTTGAGGGACCACATCTTCAGGAAACTCGACTTAAACATGAGCTAAGGTCATGAGGTCAAATCCACCCGAGATTTTCAGTACGTGCACCTATGGTATCAACTTCAAAATCCTACATTGCTGTTCTCAAGTTATAGTGTTCACAAAGTCGGGGTCCCCGCTGCCGGCCCACCCAACCGCCCGGTGGAGTGACGAAAACGTCCCCGTCTTACGACAGAGAGCTACGAACATCCACGTGTTTTCAGTCAGCTGATTGTAGTGCCAGGAGGAAAATGTTGGCGTGTACAGTGATACAGTTTTCAAACAGTGCAGATATGGACATTACTTTTATTTTTATTGAACAGGGACAATAACAGGACAAGAGCGCAGCGGTGAAGTGCAAACTGCATCCAGGACACAAACATCTGTATTACACTGCTAACATCTGTACAGACAGCATGCTAACACTAAGCTAGCCAAGAACCCAGAGTGATGTTAAAGCTGAGCAGACTCCAGTCCAGCAGCCAGAGCCTGAACTCCAACAGGTAACAAGCTGATGAGCAGCCGGGCTCTTTCTACCTGTTTCTATAGCAGCATCACTGTGACAGCTACAACATGTAGACGATGGTCTGCAATACATGTCTGGCAGCCCTGGTAGGACCGCCAGAGTCTGGTTTCTCTATTAGAGGGAGAGATAAGGAGGAAGAGGAGGGTGTCAACGAGGAGGAAGAGCAGAATACAAAAGATAGGGAAGCAGAGATAACAGGAGTCTGGGCTATGTGAGAGAGAGAAGTGAAGGAGGAAGATGTGACCGTATACATTTCTGCCTGCATGGAGCTCGAGATCAGGATTTCACCATTTCACTGAACACACACACACACACACACACACACACACACACACACACACACACACACACACACACACACACACACAGAGGAGAGGCAGCTCTGCGGGTTCAGACAGGCTGCCTCACATTCCTCTCTCCTTTATTCAGGTGGGGGGTTAGATGGGCACACACACACACACACACACACACACACACACACACACACACACACACACACACACACACACACACACACACACACACACACACACACACACACAGCGCCCACCTACGTTCTTTCAGGACAAAAGTAGAACCTGAAGTCCCTCCCCCTCCGCTCGCTCTCCCAGCAAACACCGCCGATCCGCGGCCAGAATCACCTCTCGACTAAACATAAGAGCTGCAGGTTTCAGTGGTTTGTTCGTACGTTTGTCATTAACAGACGTGTCACATGCAAAAACACGCTGAGACATAAAGACAACGAAGGAAGGAAAACCAGCACAAACAGGCTGCGCAGCACCCAAACATCAGAATCACACTTTTTATGTTTTTATGACCTTTTTCAGACATGAGTCGGTAAAATATTTAAACTGAACAGAAGCTGAAATGATGAAGTTCATTTGTTTACAGCTCTACAGGAGTGTGGATTTAATCACACTTTTAATCATCTTTGATGTGGACTTCAGCTTTGCTAATAACACTGAACACAACTACCCACAATTCACTTTGTTTGAATTAAAGCAGCGAGGCAGGAGCGACTTGAGACTGTCCTCAGTCTGAAGCCGTGTGGTAATAACACGAGTCTGAGTTGTGACCTTGTGTATGTCAGTCCCCTCCTTTCTTTTTGTTTGACCCTCCTTTTGTTGTCTTATGTTCAAATGTCTTTGTCTATAAAAACGGTAGCACGATGACGCTCCTCAGCTCATTTTAGAGCGCCATCCTCAGTTCACACTGAGCCAAGATGGCAGCGAAGTCACAAAACCTTCCTGTGTGAGGATGATTAATGTTTGCAGGTAGAAGGTGACTTCTACAAACCCTCCACATCGATATCGGGCGCCGCCGCCTCCCTCTGTCCTTCTCTTTCTGTCGTTCATTCAGATGATTTCAAATGATCGTCGAAGATGTTGAAACGGTACAGATCAAATATGTCATTCCTGCATCGCTCCAACAAGCTCAGACAGACTTTTAAAAACCACTTTGGAATAATCTCACAATCTGATCCATCCTAACCCCACACGCTACTCAAAATTCCCGCGGGAACTGAAACGTTGCAGCTCTCCTGAGGACAGAGGACAGAGCTCTGGAAACGTTCGGCACCACAGAAGAAGAAGGAGAGCAGCCGACACAGGGAGCAGACCTACCTGTCCGAGGTCCAGCGTGACGTTCACCTCGTTGAACTCAGTGCTGCGGGACAGCGGCGGGCTCTGCCACCATCGCTCCGTCCCGTCGATGGCGTTGGTGATGGGATGGGCGCGGTCGCTGTGGCCCTGGCTGCAGATGTCGCAGTACTGCCCCTGAGAAGAAACAGAAATCAATCATCCTGTTACACCAGCTGTTTGGGGAACATCTGCCCATGAAGCGTCTCAAAGCGCCTCTTCGGCTGATGACAGGACAGCAGCGTTCCTCATGGTGGGGTCACGGCTGCTCCAGAACAGCACCGTGACATAGAGCTGCCACAAACGATTATTTTGATAGTCGACTAGTCAGATCATCATCCATTGGAGGTAAAACTACAGCTTATTGCACCAGCAGCATCTGTTCTTATATAACTATCATTAGCTTACAGCTTTAAGTGTTTAAGGTCTGTGCTAACTAAAAATAAAGACAAGATGATAGTTTATTAAATGTTAATGACATTTGCAGGTTGTTTCGGTGAAGTTTAATAAACTCCTTGCTATCTAAAATATAACAGGACACCGGAGTAAATTCTGGAGCATCTCACACTTCTGATAATCAGCTGTCTGCTTGACGTTTACTCAGCTGTGTAAAAACTATAACTTTAATCTCAGCCAAACCGATTTACTCAGGAACAAATAAAATACTAAAAAGCCAAACAATAACATTTAAGTTATCTAAGTGACTCATATATATTTAACCTGAGCAGCGAAAGACGGCGGTGGGCTTGAAAACGATTTGCCGGGAGTCCGGTGTTCTCACGGCTCTAGTGACCTAGCCCCCGGCTAGCTATCGAGCTAGTGGGTAACAGACGTCTCCGAAAACGTCGGAGCGCTTTTGAAAATATGTGGTGTCCTGATAAACTGAGCAGATATTTGAGCTTTACACAGCTACATTCTTGCCTGAAAATATGTTAAACGTTTATTTTGTGACCCAGAAAGAATAATAAGAGTAACATTAAAACGAACTAGCTGCCGCCATTGTTGGAAACTGAGCTGGGCTGCGCTATGAATTCTGGGATAGGTTGGGCCTCGAAGTATACACCCGACCCATCCTTCAAATCTGGGGAAATAAAGACCGCATTTGTCGGAGTCTTCGAATTCGAATGGACCGTCTTCGTCGTGTCGCTGTAACGTAGTCGGCCTACAAATGCGGCCTCAGGAGGATGCGGTTCCTGAATTTGGACACAGCTACGATACCGGACACAGCTTCTTCTTCTTCTTCTTCTTCGGGGTTTAACGGCATCCTTGAACATGCAGTGCTGCCATCTTCTGTTTCAGTCCGTTATTACACTCTTAAATCCTGCTACTTATTCCTGCGGCTTTTGGGATCTTACAAAGCTTCAAACGAGGCGTCGACTATTAAATTAGTCGTTGATTCTGATAGTCGACTAATCGTGGCAGCCTTAACCGTGATTCTGTTTTTCCTTTTCATTCATATTTCCTGTTTCTGGGAGGTTTTGCGCATTAACTCGTGTTCTAAACGCTTTGCCTGCTGGATTATTTTGGGCCTTTCCAGCACACCATTAGCCGGAGCAACGACCAAGCACGCATAATGTAAGGTTAATACAGCACGGTGGTGGGTTTAGGTGGGGGCCGGCTGCAGGTAGCTCCACAGTGCACACGCCCGCTGCAGACGTGACACCCACTTCGAGTCCCCGTTTCTGTCCTGGTGGTCCGCTCGGCCGTTTGGCCCAAAGTAAGCATTAGCATAAACTCAACAAGTGCCGACCTGAACAAAAACCCAGGTCAGGGGCCGTTATCACAGCAGGTCCCTGAGGTCAGAGGTCACGTCTCTGTGGCTCAAACCATCCCCCACTGTTTGATGAGCTGTTAGAGCTGAGCTGTGACACCAGAGCGCCGTTAGCTTTCGGTCAACAGCACGCTCTGCTGCAGGTCTCAGATCTGCTCACACGCCGGCCTCTGCCTCGTGGCTTTATTTGTCATTAGAAGCCAGAAAACCAGCAGCTGCTGATGCGACACAGAGAGCTGTGGATCAATCATGAAACTTCAGCTGAGCACAATGATGTGATCTGTTTTTTGCCAACACGCATTGTCTAACTGAAAACCTGCACGGAGTCACTCTCCTGCCGACCCTTTGGCCCAAAGTAAGGTTTAAGCATCTTTTCTTCCTGAACACTAAACTTCTCCCCTCACACGTCTCTGACTGAGCGCTGCTGTGTCTCCGTCTCTGCTCACTAGAGCGTGCTCGCCGCCTCGTACACCTCCTGCACATTTAATGAATAAAAACACTCCCACATCGTGCTGTCGGGACACATTGTGTGTGTGTGTGTGTGTGTGTGAGAGACAGTGGAGCGACCTGGCTTAGAGGCCCCGCCCTCTCAGGCCAGCAGCCCTCGACCACATTTTTGGGGAACGTTGTTCCTGCAGCAGTGTCCGAGGATCAGGACGAGCTGCATAAGTACTCAGTGTGGAGGAGGACAAACAGCAGCTGAATTCAGGCAGTAAACTGTAAAATGAGGTCTTCCTGTGCCCCCCGCCCCCCACGGAGGAATGTGCCTCAGGCTGCAGGTTTCTCTGCTCTGCTGCTTTCATTCTTTCTCCTCATCCTCCACCTTTATCTCCACCTCTGATCTCTGTGAACTTCAGTCTGAGCCTAACAGCCATCACTCCTGACTTCTGCAAACTCAACGTGAGCTGATTTTTATTTTTCCCCCCCAAACTCGATAATCTCGCGGTAAGATGGCGGGCGAGCCTGCTCTGATTGGACGACAAGGGTCAGTCACTGTGAGGAATGCAGGGACAGGTGGGAGAGAGAGGGCAGTGAGTGTGCAGGTTATCACCCGCAGAGCTGCTGTAATGGTTAACCTGCTGATGCTGTTCATGAGCCTTTGCACTGATGAAAAACACACACACACACACACACACACACACACACACACACACACACACACACACACACACACACACACACACACACACACACACCTCTCTGCTTCCTTAAATCAGAAGAAGGGCGAAGTAGAGCCAACGAAGCCGAGCGTGACATAACGAGCTGGCAGCAGCTTTGTGCACGCCGCCGACCTCCTCTGCTCTTCAGCGAGGAAGAAGAACCAGGTTACAGAGACACGTCCACAACTCAGCTACTTCATTTCTGTACTTCAGGTTTTTTTATGGAAGTTTATTCTTTAGAAACATGAAAATCCAGGTTCTGCTTTTGTGTTTCCATGAGAACTTCACACGTCACACATCTGAAAATAAAACAACTGGAAATATGGACCATGAAGTCCTGGATGAATCACCTCAGTTCCTTAAGGTGCTTTCTACTGTAAGGTAAAGACCCTACAATGATGGAGGCAGACCCCAACCATCAGACAACCCCTTCTGAGGAGGGCTGAGTACAATAACCTCAGTTTGATCTGAATTAAGAAGCAGAAAGTTAGCGGCCATCCAGGTCTTTATGTCTTTAAGACATTCCTGCAGTTTAACTCATTGGTGTGTGTTATCTGGCTTCATGGACAGATAGAGCTGGGTGTCATCTGCATAGCAGTGTAAATGTATGCTATGTCTTCTAATGATGCTGCCTAAGGGAAGCATGTATAATGTAAACAGAATTGGTCCTAGCACTGAACCCTGTGGAACTCCATAATTAACCTCAGTGTGTGAAGAGGACTCTCCATTTACATGCACAAACTGGAGTCTATTAGATAGATATGATACAAACCACTGCAGTGCAGTACCTGTGTTGCATCTTCAAAAAATAAAAATACAATAACTGAGACTTACAATGAAGTATCGTTGCAACTGGTTTACTGAACCTGTTGCAACCAGACAAAGAAAAAAAGAACGAGAGCTCAGACAGCTGTATTCCATAAGACTTGATCAAGTCATGGCTGTGTTGTTAAAACATGTTTGTAGCGTAAATTTGTTCCACGGTTACTCAGGAACAGCCCAATCAGTGCACGTACAGAACATGAGTATCCATTTTCTTACTGCCCCCTACAGGACACACTCTTCTTCCACTTCCTCACAACATTAATGTAACACAGAACTAATACTGCCTCTCCTGGCGTTACCATTGTAACGACACACTCATTCTGTTTCTTTCAGATGAATAACAGGAACTTAGGGTGTAGGTATCTATGAATAACTATTATGCATACTCATATATTTATATAACCAACTAATTTCTTGATACCACAACCTGTAACACCTACAGCTGCTCTAATCGCTGTAATTCATGAACAAACTGCAGGATTTGATTATTTTCGCACTGCTAAACTTACAGAACCCGCTGGTGTGAGATTGATGTGTCAGTGTGAAAGGTCCTCAGTTTATTACTTATTATTACTCTATTTTTGTATTACAAGATAAACCAGCTAAAAGAAGGTTTTTGGCTTCAGTGTGGAGGGGCCGCAAAGGGGAGGAGCTAACTTGAGAGGATGGGTGAGGGGCTGCCACCAGACTCAGTTTTAGATAAAGAAGGATTATTTTAAACTGTGAGTCATGCAAAGCTCCGCTGACACAGACAAAGAGTAAACGTGAGCTCGGGTGAAGTCTGGGACTGCTGCTCACGCTTACACGGGACGGTTCTCCCCTCTTACACTCACTGATGCTTAGAAACTCAGTCATAAGCCGATACCTTATGATTACACATACGCACACACTGCGTGCTGCAACTACTCAGAGTGACGCCACGAGCACCTGCTTCAGATCTACACCTCACAGCGACTCACCTGGATGGTCTGGCTCGGGTCTCCGGACACCGGGCCCCCGACCAGCTTGCAGTACAGGTCCTGGACGCTCCTGCCGGTGTCGTCCTCCCCGCAGGTCGCCGTGGCGGTGATCTTCGTGCCCTCCGCCAGGTTAAAGTAGGGCGGGTGGAGGCTGTATCCGTTCACCCCGTTGGTGGGCAGCTCCTGGGCCGAGGCGAGGCGCCAGCAGCAGTTCACCAAAAGCAGCCACAGCAGCTCCGAGAGCCGCGCAGGACCGCTCACCATCATCCCACCTGCCCGACAAACTCCAGGAGCAAGCTTTGAGACGGGGTGGCGAAGTCTTAGAAAGGCTGTGAGGGTGGGGGGGGGTCAAAGCTTCTGCGGGACCGGAGCGCGTGAAGTGAAAAAGCCGCAGAGAGGAAGAGGAGGCGCTGAGTCCTGGAGCGGAGCGCACAGCTTTCTGTCCTCTCCGAGAGTCGCTCCAGCAGGAACACTCAGTCCTCCCCCTCCCTCCCTCTCTCTCTCTCTCCTCACCCTCCCCTACCCCCATCTCTGGCCCGGCCCCAGAGGAGGAGGAGGGCGCAGAGCTTCCTCGTAGGCCTGCGGCCAACTGAAGCTGATTTTAGTGGCTGAAGACTCGAATTTATGAGTTCTTGTTAGATAAACCATGTACCTGTTTGATGTCTGAGGTCTGGTTTTAGCAGCACGAATCAGAGTCCAGATCTGAGTGTACATGAAACATCTTTGATTAAAATACTGATTGTTGTGTAAAAACAGACACGTGATTTAGTAAGACTGAAAGGTGCAACCTCAACCAGAACACAGGAAACAGCTGATGGAGAATGACACCTGCGCAGGCCTCAGAGACGGAGCCTCAGAGACGGAGCCTCGGAGACGGAGTACTTTAACCTGTGTAGTACTTTAACTTGCAGTAGTTTAATTTGAACTTGAAGAAAGTGTCTTTCCTCAGTGTGCTGCATCACGTGATCCAGGGAATTACCTGCCCAGGTAATAAAACTGTTGCTGAAATCTGTTTATGAGCGCCGATCAAACTCCATTCGCAGATTGAAAACGGAGCGAGCGGCCGTTCACTGGAGCCTAGTTAAAGGTCAAAGCTGCAGGCAGCTGTGCTTGTGGACCTCTGAAGCTTCTGTCGTGGCTGTGTCATTCTTCTTCTGTGGTTATAATCCGCCCTCCTTGCTCTCTGCCTCCTGGGAGCTGGGGCAGCGTCTCTCAGACATTTGGCTAGTCTGTGTTTGGCATCCACAGAGACCTGCAAATCAAACCTGGAGCTCCGCCTACGTGAGCGCTCTGTTAGTGCAGTGACCTCACAGCAGCCATATTATTGGTCACGTGATGTCATTAAAAATGCTCCAAAAGGCTCCAACAGCACAAAAACGGTCCACAGGTCCAGCTTAGCCTAGCAGCTACAGCCATCTGTGTCACCATCCACCTGTCAGTCACAGAGGCCACGCCCTAAAATTACAAACCTTAAACCAGGCGTGTTACACAAACACCCTCCCCGTACAGGTGTGACTATGGAGGAAATGATCCACAGAGACCCAACAGTTTGTGTATCAGGCTGTAAAGTTTTAACATGACTCACTGCTGCCTCTGCTGGACGTCAGAAGAACCACAGGGTTGATGGGAAACACCTGCAGAGCTGAGTGTGTTTCTCATGGAGCGCTGCCATGTAATTACGTGGCTCCAGGAGCCACTTTAGAAGATTAAAGAGTTTTTCCCACACTCTCAAACACACAGATAAAAGGTGCTCAGGTGAGTCGGGCACAGTTCATACTGAACAGGTAGCTTTGGTTCAAGTTGCAGAGGTTCTAGTGTAGAATAGCCGTGTATTGTCCTTGTACACGTAGAACAAAACTGTGGCATGAGAAGTTTAGGCAACACAGGAAGAAAACACTGAGCATCACTGCTGTTCGGTCTCACACAGGAACACAACACCTCCACAAGTCAGTATCAGGTAGCCCCGCCCACATTATGCTATTCTGTAATCTGCAGAACATACAAATTAGTACTATGACAACACACATACACTCACAAACAACAGGTGGGTGGGGCTGCGGTCCACGACATCATCCAGAGCCAGGAGTGCGAAAAACTGTGATAAACTGAGTGTTTAGAGCAGTCTGAACACGTGAGCTCATTACTAGACAGGAAGTGAGGAGAAGAAAAATCGGTCCATGAAGAGTTACTTCCTGCGTGGTGTTTGCTGCAGGAAATGGACTCTTAATGAAAGGAACGCGAACAAGAGAGGAGGGAGAAATAAAGTGTGAAAAACTCACAGCGAGCCAAACACAGGAAGAGAAGAAGAAGAAAGAGGCCTTGGCGTTTCACCTCACTAATCCTGTCTTTCTCCCTGAACTCTATAACTAATCTACTTCATGGTTACCACAGAGACCAAAGGAGGAGCGAGGGATAGGTCACATGTTGTCATGGAAACTGCTAACTGCTCCATCAATTGAACCCACTCACCCCCGCCTCCCCAAACACACACACAGATGAAGAGGTCTGTGTGCAGCAAGGAACAAAGTTTGAAGTGAGCAGCGAACTGAGCTTCATTCAGGCTCTGATCCAGAGGTCAGCCCCAGAGACGCGTCCGACATCCACGAGGTGTCCGCATCCTCCGAATAATGAGCTTCTGGCAGATTCACAGGAACACCCAGGGGAACACTGCAGAGCGCTGCGTGAAATAAAAACGGAATGAAATCATTTCCGACTCTCATCAACCCAAATTTATTCACACCACAGAAAACATTTAAAGGAGAAAATGAACCATTTCAATAAAGTTTGACTTTGATGGCGGCAACACGTCTGTAAAAGTTGGGACGGGTCGACAAAACGCTGAAAACTGAGAAGAGAAACAGCCGGAGGAAGATTTATCAGGTGAGCTGTCAGCAGCTGGGTCACCCTGTTCACCGAAGTCTATTTACCAACATACGTAAAGATATTACACATAAAAATACACAGAAACATTGGAAATCAGTTTTTGGCACAACACCGGTGTCACAGAAATGTCATGTGATGTGTTTACTGTCACCATTGTGCTCATCTAGATTTGACACAGCAGGGTTTGAGAGGACAGAGACGGGAAGTGAACGCCACCGTGTCGTATTTGTGACGCAAACAAAGCCCAGACGTGTTTATTTGTGTTCATTTGGGCCAGAGCGGCCTGCTCTCAGAGCTGTGTGTGTGAGCAGGTGTGGACATGTCCGCCTCTTTGTTTCCTACAAGAAAAGCCTTCAAACACACTCCTGGTGGCCTCCTCCTCCTGAGTGCTGAGGACACGCCTTCCACAGGGGGAGGGGGTGACGGTGGGTTCACCTGTACAGCAGGTCAGACAGTCGGAGGCTCTTTGTAACAGGATTAAATCTGTGACCAAAATGTTTCAGTGAGTTTACACAGCAGGCTCCGCCCACCCCTGCCCTCCTCTCCCGTCTGCTCCTCCTTTGCTTTGAAGTCTAAAGAGACAAAGAGATGAGCCGAACAGAGACAGAGATGATGGAAAGACAGATAAAAGGGAGGAAGAGCAGGAGGTGAGGAGGTGAGGGAGTGCCACGAGGAGAACGTAGGAATAAAGACTGGGAGGAGCCGTCGCAGCTGCAATAAAACCTTGACAGAGACACGGCTGGGAGGGGTCTCAGGTACCTGCTTCACGTTCAGAACGTTGTTTGGCGAGCTGCAACTCGCTCGGTGCCAAAAACACTCAGACACGACCCAGCTTCAGCTTTTTCAAAAAACCCTTTAATCAGCTCAGAGTCAGACGAGCGCAGCAGAAGGTTTCCCCTCTGATAACGAGGCCTTAGCACAGGGGTGGGCAATCCCAGTCCACGAGGGCCGGTGTCCTGCAGGTTTTAGAGCTCACCCTGGGTCAGCACACCTGAATCACATCAGTTCGTTACCAGGCCTCTGGAGAACTGCAGGACATGTGGAGGAGCTAATTTAGCCGTTTAAATCCGCTGTGTTGGTTCGAGGACACATCTAAAACCTGCAGGGACACCGGCCCTCGTGGACTGAGATTGCCCAGCCCTGCCTTAGCATCAGCTTATTATTATCATCAGTGTTCCAGTAACAAGGAAATATGTCCATGAAAGTGAAACAGCTGTTACTGGGTCAGCTGACCAAACAATCTATTCATTTTTGTCTGCAGCTCCAGCCGCTCAGCTTCATGGTTCTGTTTTTTATCTGGGAAATCATTTCTGCTTTTTGGATAAAACATCTGATTTTCATGGAGAACACTCAGAAGATTCAGATTCACAGAGCCGTGCGAGTGACCCTGAAGGCCTCGGGGAGACATACCTGGCAGCCCCAGAGGAGGAGGAGATGCTAGCCACCTGCTCAGAGGCTCACCTGAGGGACAATAAAGTGTGGGAACAGAGCCGTAAACCGGCCTCATTACAGACCCTGAAACCACACGACGCCCCTCTGTGACCTCACATTCCCTCTCTAACCTCTCATTTCATTGGCTCACGTCGTCCTTACAGCCAGGTTGGGGCAGACGGTCACCCAAACATTAAAGGGCGCTGTAACGGAGCTTCTCTCCACTCTTCTTTGCGTTTCATTATGTGTGATCATCCTCAGCAAGCAAGTTTCTACTGAGACAGACATGAAACTCTGGTTTGATGTGAGAAGTTCAGTCCCAGCTTTTCACATTTAACCTTGACCTTTGACCTCTGCAGAGAGGCTTGAGGATCCAGACTCTGATGAAGAACGGAATCTTTAAATATCACCATCATCTTCTTTTGCCCTTCGGCCCCACAAACAGATGCTGAGCACTGTTCAGGTCTGGGTGAAGAGGAGGTGCACCTCCAGAGCTGAACACCTAAACACACCTCTGAACACCATGATGACGTAAAATAGAGTTGGATGTCTGGAAACCAATCTTGGTCTCGAGACCACTTTTACCTGGTCTTGGTCTTCTTGATCTCAGATCCCTCAATCTGGTCTTGAGTCAACCATCAGCGGAGCGGGGGGGTGTCATACTGGGCTTAGGCCCGGGTCATCTTTTCGGGGTCTTTTGGAGTGTAATTTGTTTCATAGTTAGAGGCCTGACTGACAGCTGTATAAAACAAAAACTACACACAATACTCGAAGCACATAGCGCACAGTCGTAAATGCCCCCTAATTTTGGTATGATCCGAGCTCGGGTACTAAGCAACTGAGCACAGCACTGACGCCTGTGAGCGAGGGGAGAGAAGCTGCTGCCTGCCAGTTTGCTGCAGACAGAGGAGAGCTTAAGTTTGAGCAGGTACCAAAGCAAATCATTGGTACTGAACTAATAATGTAAATATGACGGTGCATCACGAAAGACTGATATCAAACGGATCACTTGACCAATATTACGTCACTCGCTCTTCCAGCGAATCAACAAATGGCGAAATGAAAAGCCGAACAACAACAATCCTGGTTCTTTAGAGAGTCTCAGCTTACATGTGTTTATTTCATATTTTCAGTTGTTTCCCTCCACGG